GGACACCTGCTGCAGATTTTAGATGCCTATTTGGGCTTTTGTTTGATTTGGGGTGTGCCTGTCTTCTGCTCCATAAGTTGGGGGACAAAGCTAATGTCCCAAGAGACTCTTGCCACAGCTTGTTCGCAGTTTATACAAACTCCACAGCTCCAAGTAGATCTGGTTAGCAGACTCGAGCTGCAGCACATGGAGCTTCTAGATGCTCGCTACCTTGAATGGTGTCAGTGCCACTGACTGACAGAGGAGTACAGGGCAGAGCCTGACCCCCTCTTCTTGGGAGAGCCATGCCTAGGCCAGCAAGAGGTGACCTTGGGGCCTGCCTCTCCTTACTCCTCTGCAAGGAATAATTAGGGCCCCTCCTTCAGCAAGCGTTTATTTCTTACCACTAMATTGGTTTCCTTTTTCAGCTGAAAGTTAGAACTCCCCAGGTATATATACACTATAGAAGCCAAATCTCAGAATTCTGAGATTGTAGAACATCTTAACCACAAGAGGGAAAATTGAGTTGTATCCCAACCCTGAAAACGGGCCGTCTGTCCCTTCCTCTGCTCTGAGTCAGCTCTAGCAAGCAAGGCTCCGTGGCTGCTTCCTAATGCACTGACAGGAGCCATCCCATTTAGGACGACCTCTACTCCAAACATGACTTTCTGGACTTCAGATGCCTCTTTTAACTGGAAAGGCATTGATTGGATTGGATGTATTTATGTGACTGCGGGCATTCGTGGCTGTAGAATCCTTGATCATAATGTTATATGTAATGGGAACTATCTTATAAACTTGAAAAAAATAAAGTTTTTATTTTCTATACAGTTTTCTCCTGTGTCTTTTCTAAATAGGATCGGCTCAGTTGGTCAGCCATGCGGCTCCTCATCAGGACTTCATAAGTATTCTGAAGAGGTCATTAGAAAGATGTCACCTTTTCAATAAGTGGGTCACTAATTTCACCAAGAAAGTAAGACTAACCACTTGGTATAAATAAGCATACATGGGGAAAGTAAAATAAATATTTTTAAGTAATTTGCAAGGGAGCATTTATTTCTGAAATGTTTCTAAATGGCATTGCTTTTTAAGGTTTAGAACTGGAATGATAAGAAATTTCATTTGCTGTCAAATGTGCTGAACTTTAATTATTAATGAGAAAAATCAATACTTGCTGTGTTGAGCTTAACAAAAGCAATAAAACTGACAAACTGATATCATCCTCCTGTGATTTGGCCTGATTTCATGTCACATCAGCTACTTTTTGTATTTCATTTCTTCAGATTCAAAAAGGCTTTTTGCCTTTTATTCAATGAAGGAAATTAGGTTCTATTTCCAAGTACCATACATGTCAGACTATAAATTGTGTTTTTCCCCAAAATCAATTTGCCCAGAAAATAGGAAGCTGCCTTTATTCTATTTATTAAATATGTTCATTATTAAATGCCAATTTTGAACCGTTTAAAAGAATGGTTGAAGAAATCCTGATAGTTGCTTACATCCCTTTTCAGTTGTAAGTGTACATTGGAGTGCTGGTCGATTTCTAAGCCCATAGAGTAAATGAATATCTCCATCTCACCCTAATATAATTAATAAAGCATGCACATTTCTCTTACAAGTGTTTAATGGCAGGTAAAAATCAGCAATTCAGGAGGGTTTTTTAACTTTTTTTTTTTTTAGAGAGAGGAGAGAGAATTTTTTTTTTTTAATATTTATTTTTTAGTTCTCGGCGGACACAACATCTTTGCTGGTATGTGGTGCTGAGGATCAAACCCGGGCCGCATGCATGCCAGGCGAGCACGCTACCGCTTGAGCCACACCCCAGCCCCATCAGGAGGTTTTTTTTTAATCTTCAAAAACAAGTTTCTCTACATATGAAAAATCCTTGATGGCAATCTTAAGTATCTATTTGCAAGTAATGTCACACTCATCTTTTTAAAATTCTTCCCTGCCCCACTCCTGGACTGGGGATTGAATCTAGCAGCACTTAATCACTGAGCCACATCCCAGCCCTTTTATTTTGAGACGAGGTATCAGTAAGTTGCTTAGAGCCTTGGTGAATCACTGAGGCTGGCCTTGAACCAGCTCCTCCTGTGCTATTGGAATTACAGTGCGCCACCACTCCAGGCTTAAAAATTCTTGATGCTGTAAACTTTAAAAATATATAAAAATGGGGCTGGGGTGTAGTTGCGATAGAGCTAGTCTGCACCACATTCTGAGTTAGATGTCCAGCATCACAAAAAAAAAAAAATACCCTCTCTCACATAAAAGAATCAACTGCCAAATTCCATAGTTTTTTTAAGTAGTATGCTATTATACATTGAATTTACCATCATTTGACAGTTTCATCTAGGCAGTATAAATGAGAGCTTACCCCGAAATAGTTAGAAGCACATCTTTTTGGACTTTGAGGCGGGATGAGGAGTTGCCTAAAACACTAGGTCTTCTATTGGGAAATATGGCTACTCCCCTGAGCCTTGTCTTTGCATATAACAGTAGTGTGGCAGAAAAGTAAAGTAGTATTTTACTATTTTGGTGAAATCTCTAAGGCCTATTCCAAGGCAAGTGTTGGCACTAAACCTTGGCCAAACCTCTACCTTCTCTAGGTCTTGACCCTAAATGAATGAAGGAAAATGACAGTGACTTAATGTATTCAATTAAAAGATGATTATATCCTTTATGTGATGATGAAGATGTAAGATCAGTGTAATTTTTAATGACCTTTTTTGCTTATGTTAAATTGGTAACCATAGTATTATAGCATACTACCTACTTCTTTGTGTGTGTGTGTGTGTGTGTGTGTGTGTGTGTGCGCGCGCGTGCACATGCACGTTGCTAAGGATTGAACCCAGGGCCTTGTGCATGCTAAGCAAGCACTCTACCACTGAGCTACATCTCCAGCCCTATATATTTTTTATTTGTTCTTTTTAGTTATACATGACAGTAGGATGTATTTTTATATATATTTTTTTAGTTGTAGATGGACACGATACCTTTATTTTATTTTTATTTTTTTTAAAAAAGAGAGAGAATTTTAATATTTATTTTTTAGTTTTTCGGCAGACACAACATTTGTTTGTATGTGGTGCTGAGGATCGAACCCGGGCCGCACGCATGCCAGGCGAGCGCGCTACCGCTTAAGCCACATCCCCAGCCCTATTTTTATTTTTTTTTTAATGTGGTGCTGAGGATCGAACCCAGTGCCTCACATGTGCTAGGCAAGCACTCTACCACTGAGCTACAACCCAGCCCAACAGTAAAATGTATTTTAACATATATCATGGAATATAACTTCCCATTCTTGTGGTTGTACATGATGTGGAGTTACACTGGTCATGTGTTTATATATGAACATAGGAAAAGTTATGTCCAATTCATTCTACTATCTTTCCCATTCCTATCCCCTTTCCCTTTCCCCCCAATGGATGCTGTCAATCAAGTGAACCTCCACTCCTCCCTCTCTCCCACCCCCCTCAACCCTACTGTGAGTCAGCATCCTCATATCAGAACATTCAGCCTTTGGTTTGGGGGGATTGGCTTATTTCACTTATCATGATAGTCTTCAGTTCCATCCATTTACAGGCAAATGCCATAATTTCATTCTTTATGGATGAATAATATTCCATTGTGTATATGTACCACATTTTCTTTATCCATTCATCTGTTGAAGGGCACCTAGGTTGGTTTCATAGCTTAGCTATTGTGAATTAAGCTGCTATCACCATTGATGTGGTTACTTCACTATAATATGACCAGCCCTTTATTATTTATTTATTTATGATACCCAGGATTGAACTCAGGGGCACTTAACCACATCMCTAGCCCCCTTTTGCAGGTTACTTAGAGACAGGGTCTCACTGAATTGCTTAGGGCCTCGCCAAGTTGCTGAGGCTGGCTCTGAACTCAGAATCCTCCTGTGTCAGCCTCCCGAGCCACTAGGACTGTAGGTGTGCACAATGCACCTGGCCAGCCCTTTATTTTTGAGACCTAGTGTTGCTATGTTGCCCAGGCTAGTCTCAAACTTTCAACTCTCCTGCCTCAGTCTCCCTAGTCACTGCAATTACAGATGTACACCACCATGCCCATTCTCATGTTAGCCTTTTGACTGGTCTGTGAAATTCAGAAGTCTCAAAGACTGTAGGATTTGCAAAATTCTTTCTTCCTATAACATTCTATGTAAAACATCTTCCAGGAGCCTCTTCCTGGTGCCAGCCTTCAGCTCTGGGTAATCCTCAGCTTCAGGCCAAAAACCACTATAAGTCCTCCTTCATCCAGCAGAACGGCAGTCTTCAGGAACAGTGTTTGCAATCATCCTTATCTTAATAGTGACTCCAGGTCCTGCTCCTTATCACATTTATAAGCAACAGGCTACAGTCACTACTAAAGCTTCTCTCCCTCACCTTTAGGGATTACCAGTTCCTCAGGGAGGTCTTTCTTGGCCATTCTTTCTAAAGTTGCTAACTCCCACTCCCAACATACAAACACCTTCCCCGCCCWGCTCTATTTTTCTTTTAGCACTTAACACTATCTTAATAAGTAATCCTGTTTATTGTGTCTCTCTACTATAATAAATGAATAACAGAACTAAACTATTCCAGATGCCATCACAGTGGTAACAAAACCATCTTCTCAGACTCCAGTGTCCTCTTCCTATTCCTTGTTTCTCCAAGGAATATAACCTCAAAGAGCTCCCAACAAAGAACCTTCTGCACCTGACCTCTCATACTTCCTAATCCTAAAGATGCTTATAGTTGCTCCCGCTAGGCCCAGCAGCAGAGCCATGGTAAGAGAAAGCACCAAGTCCACCCAGATCCAGATTTTGATTCCCTGCTGAATGTATGGGCCAGCCCACCCAGGCTCACCAGCTCCTGAAATTTGGAGTGTTCCAATTTTAAGTGATTCCACATCCCTGATCCATTTTTTTCCAGGAGAGGTAGTAGACTTTAACGACACAGACCAGAGGATTGCACAAGTTTTTAATAAYAACATATTAATACTGTTAAACAAAAATAACACGTGTCCTCACTGGCAGCAACACGTATATATACACATTCTCTTCCTCTCACATCAACTCTGAGGTAGGAGGTACACTGGTTAAAGAATAAAAATACTCAATGGGCTGTGCATGGTCCAGACCACAGGCCCACAAGGCACTTGGGCAAAAAGCAGCCCCTGGAGGAGCCAAGGCTGAAACAGCTGTGCTAAGACCCTGGAGGTGCTGGCAGGGGCCGTGTAGAGTTGGTCCACCAGCCTTTCAGATCCTACTCAGGATTGGCTGGAGCAGGCAGAGGATGAAACTATAGAGCAGCAGCTGGTTCCACAGTTAGAAAAATGTTCCCAGCACATAAAGTGCTCTCAGTAAACATTTGTTGAATGAACTAAACAAATGGGGTAGTGCAGGGAAAAATTCCAGAGAGCCAGCCCATAGGTGTCCTGGGGCCTTCTAGGCAAGATCAGGAAAACAAGGGTGGCATGGCACTTCCACCAATTACTTGAAAGGTGAAAATACCAGCCATGGGAAGCTCTGGGACACCAGCTATACTGGTTGGGGAAAAGGAGAAAAGTGTCTCCTACATAATAATTGGCACACTTGGCCCTCCAGGGCCCAGGCCTTCTCATTTTATTACACTGTGAACTCCCTAGGCTGGTCTGACCCTGCCTCAGAGGACCCCATTCACCTCTCCTTTCCCTGACAAAGCAGCCTGATCTTTAGCCTTGGGGAAAAAGTTCCGAGCCAAGTGAATCATACGCCTGTTCTGAGGCAGCTGACTGTGTGGCAAAGGAGAGAGACTTCGGGCCCCATCCACCCGGTCAGGCTCCCAGCGGCAGCTAGGGTGGAGCCAGCGGTAGTAGACAAGGCGCAGAGCCAGACCTAAAAGTAAGCAGACACYGGCCAAGGGAAGCCACATGTGCAATGGGATCCCGACAGGCAGCCAGGTGCTATGAGTCACCCAAGTGACCACCAGCAAAACACTGTCACTTAGGAGGAATGCCAAGTGAATGGTGGCCCGGCCTCGGGTATGGCCCTCAGACACATTGAACCAGGAGAAATAGAGGATGGTGGCCACTGTCGCCCGGTACAGCCACTCAGAGGCAGGGCCTGGCATAAAGTCTGTGCCCTGAAGCCAGATCCAGAGCAGCAGCACCAGCCACAGGCCCAGAAAGTGCAGGGCCACATAGTGGGGGAAGAGGGCTGAGAACAGGGCCACCGCCAGGACTCGGGGCCCCAGTAGTAGCAGGTTCCACAGGAAGTAGATGACAGAGGAGCCCAGGCTCAGGAGGGGCTTGGAGGGAAGGCAGGTGCGCAAGGCCTGGTGGTAGTCCAGCAGTGCCCATGAGATGCCCAAGAAGGATGTGCAGATGCTAAGCCCTATAAAGAATAAGAGGAAACAGGTGAGCTCTGTGAGCAGCCTGCCTAGCATCCGCAGGCCCACAGGTACCCTGGGGGTTCTGCTAGCAGCCCTGAGTTGGGTATTAGAATGCCCCCACTTGTAGACGGGAAAACTGCAGTGCCAGAACATTCAGTGAGTTCACACAACCAGAGGGCAGGGATTCAGTTGTGTAGCCTGACCTCACCAGGAGGCTTTACTTTAGGTGCTATCCTGGGACATCTTTCAAGAATGGGAGGGTATGAAACTTGGCACCCYTGGGCCTTGGCTGCACCCTGAGCATCTTCTAAGGCCCCATAACCCTTCCTTTCTCAGAAGAGCTTAAGCTTTTCTTGGGTCTGAAAATCAGTCATCAGAAAGGGGCTGATTTCTCCATGTCAGAGAGAAGAGATGTCCCTGTAGCATGGCAGAAGTTCTCCACATTCCCCTCTGCTCCCTTCCATGGACAGCCTGACCTTGCTCTTGTTTTCCCAAGATCCAGAAGCTGACGATAAGATATTTATCCCACATCCTCGTTGCCCAACCTGGACTGGAAGCACTAGGACCTCCAAGAAAGATGGAAGCAGCCCTGAAATGTCTCTAGAATGCTTCCTCCCCTTTCCCATCCACCTAATTCACTCAAATGTTTATTGGGAACCTATCATATACCCATCAGATCTGTGGCCATCCCTGTCTCCAACTACCCACCTTCTAGGTTTGAGCAGGGCTAAAGTTTTTCCAGTTTGTCCAGCATGCCACAGCCTGTGACTTTTGACAAGCTTGTCTGGTTTATTAGTAAAGCCAGAAGCACATGCCTCACTTCCCTTGACCCGCTCCTCCTCACCTACAAGCCCCAGCTTGAATATCCACTGGGGTCACCCAGCCCACACACTCCTTGTGTTGGGTATCTCTATAATACCCCACCCACTTCTGCATGGAGTCTGATCACACTAATTATTACCTACTTCCTTATTTCTAAGTTCCTAGAGGGTAGAGAACAGATTCTGGCTGGACACAGTGGTGCACACCTATAATCCCAGCTACTAGAGAGGTTGGGACATGAGGATTAAAAGTTTGAGGCCAACTTGGGCAACTTAGTAAGACCTTGTCTCAAAATTAAATAAAAAAGGATGGGGATGTAGCTCAGTGGTAAAGTGCTTGCCTAGCAGGTGTGAGGTCCTGGGTTTGATCCCCAGTACTGCAAAWGGCAGGCAGGCAGGCAGGCAGATTTTGCTCACCTGGGATAATGTTTGCTAAATAAAAATTTAAGAAATCAATCTCCTCCACCCAACATATGGTATAGTCTGTCTCCACTTGGCTCTGGTCCTAGATATTTTAGCACCTTAAAACAGGAAAAAAAAAAATGCAGCCAATGAATGTCACTTCACCTTTTATACCTCTTTCCTCTGGTATAAAGTGAAGATGGACTCCTGTGTCACACTGAAAGTGATGGCAGGCAGGATGGGGACTGGGTTCTTTGGGAGGCTGTGGCATTTTTAGCAGGGGGCTTCAGAATGTACAGGGGTGGCAAAGGCAAAGCGGAGGCACTGGACTCTGAATGAGCTGTGAGTTGGAGTCTAGCGTGGCCACCCTTGACTTTGGGCAAGTTACTTCCCTTTTCCGAGAAAGCCTCCCAAGAATCCTTACTACACAAACTTTCCCAGTGGTTGTTGAGGCTCTGCCAGCCTCCGCCACCTGCCTCTGTTTTCCAGTCACTCAGCACATTTATTGTAACTTCTTGTGTTTATAGTCACTCATCCTGGCTGGGCAGAGGCTCCGCGTGTCTTACTCACTGCTGTGTCCTCAGCACAGTGACAGGTACAGAAGAGATGCTCAATAAAAACTTGACTGTATGAAGGTACTCAATAAATTGTTTATTGAATAACAAGTTGCTTATTATATATCAGGTACCCTACATGCTTTATCTAATATCATCAAAGTAATAAAAATTATAATTAAGATTTATTATGTGCCACTGAGCATTATATGTAGCACCCCCTTTCATCAGTTCTATGAGGTAGGATTTTTTTTTTTTTGGTACTGCAGATTAAACCCAAGGGTACTTTAACACTGAATTATATCCCTAGCCATTTTTATTTTTCATTTTGAGGCAGCGTCTTGCTTACAATCCTCCTGCCCCGGCTTCCTAAGCAGCTGGGATTATAGGCATATGCACTGCACCTGGCAAGATCATACATTATATCCATTTTTCAGATGAGGCCAAACTGATATTCAGAGAAGTTATACAATCTTCCATACCCATGCAGCTAAAGATTAACTTTAGATTTGAACCCAGATCCACTGTCTAAAGTTTGGTCTCCTATTTTCTCAACAGTTATTCTAAAAAAGCAAATATATTGCTGACATTGAAGGGAAATTCTGCTAATCCATAAAAGGAGGGCCAGCTGCTGGCCTGGTACTCACACTGGTAGTACTCAGCGCGGCCACTCTGTAGCACGATGGCCAGCCCCAGTGTGAGTTGTGGCGTCGTTTCCAGGAAGGTCTCAAAGAGCCGCAGCATGCTGATGTCCAAGGACAGGAAGTCGGCATAGGCCAGGTCAAACTCGGAAGGCTCCTCCTGCTGCCACACCAACAGCCCCTGCTGCAGCCCCTGCAGGCATCTAGGCAGCACACACAGATGCCCACAGGGCCAGGTCAGCGTCCAGGGAATTCCTCAGCCTCTTACCCATCTGGCAGATACAGACAGTCTCTGATCCTAACTTGTCTACTCACATGGTAGAGGGACTTGGGCAAGCTACCTAACTTCTCTGAACCTCATCTATAAATTGGGATAAACACAACTTTTAGTCCTGCTGCTTAGGCGCTGCCCCAAGAGCATCACAAACCTTGTCCTGTTTACCCCTCACAAGAGCCCCATTTTACATCTGGGGAAATGGCATCAAAAAGCTAGTAGTGGGGCTGGGGATATAGCTCAGTTGGTACAGTGCTTGCCTCGCATGCACAAGGCCCTGGGTTCAATCCCCAGCATCACAAAAAAAAAAAAGAAGCAGCAGCAGCAGCTAGCAGTGAGGGAATCAGAAAGGGACCCAAAATTGTTTGAATTTGAAAGGCACGCTATAAAGTTGTCCAAGGCAGTGGTTCTCACTTTTACTATGCTTAAGAATCTCCTGGGATCCTGTGGGCAAGGAACTATGGAGAGCTTCTGAGCATGGGCAACATGGGATCAGATTGTGCTCTAGAAGACACTGGCTGGGGCGAGGAGGAAGGGTGGGAAGAGTTACAGTGGAGCAGAAATCCCATTTTAAGAGGATGCTGGAGCCAGGCACAGTGGGACACACCTGTAATCCCAGTGACCCAGGAGGTTGAGATAGAGGATTCCAAGTTCAAGGCCAGCCTCAGCAATTTTGCAATGCCCTAAGCAACTTAGCAACACCCTGTTTCAAAATAAAAAATAAAAAAGGGGCTAGGGATGTGGCTCAAGTGGTAGCGCGCTCGCCTGGCATGCGTGTGGCCCGGGTTCGATCCTCAGCACCACATACCAACAAAGATGTTGTGTCCGAAGAGAACTAAAAAATAAATATAAAAAATTCTCTCTCTCTCTCTCTCTCTCTCTCTCTCTCTCTCTCTCTCCCTCCCTCCCTCCCTCCCTCCCTCCCTCCCCTCTCTCACTCTCTCTTTAAAAAAATAAAATAAAAAATAAAAAGGACTGGGGATACAGCTCAATGAAAAAATACCCCGGGGTTCAATCCCTAGTAACCTCACCCCCCCAAAAAAGAGAGATTTCTGAAACAGCCCAGGGACAAATGGGGGGTGCAGGGCTGGCCCAGATGGGTGGGGATAGAGACTAGGGCAGAATTAAGGTTGTCCACACAGGCCTCAGGGATTAATTGGCCTGAGGGGACAGTAGTTCTGCACCCAGAACTGATCTCACTTGGCTCTAGGGGGAGAGTCCATTCCCTCCATGCAAATTCATTCATCAGATGCCAGCTGTCACTTGCCTCTATAGACCTGATACACACTGAGTGACAGGCAGGCAGGGCTCTGTTGGGGCTCTCCCTCATAGGAGCTTCTGCCTTTGGTCCTCTAATGCCTCAACAGAAGCCCCCACTTCAGCCTTGTGACGAGCAGGAACACAGACCCTATTTTCAAGCCAAAAGTCAGCAGAAACAGGAGAAGGCAAGATGCATGAAGCACTCATGAACGCAGGCCCAGTGAGGCCTCCGGGACAGTAATACTGTGCCCCTCCATACCYGTCAGGGTTTTACTGGTGTCTCCTGCAGTTCCTCGGGGAAAAATGGCAACATCAAAGCTCCTCTCTCTACTTCTGGAGACTCCATGCAGCTTTGTCAAAGCAAGATCTTAATAGAATTTGTAAAAATGGACTTCAAAGCAGATTTCGCCTCCAGCCATCCTAACCCAGACCACACAATGAAGTCCTGACTTCATGGCATGGCTTTGACCCTTTGATTTCAGTTTCGCTGTCTCTACAGGCCCCTGCTAATTCTAAAAAGGAGCATAGTCTGCACATATTTTCCGAGACCCAGCCTGTGCCCAGCCCTGGCTGGCTCCAGGGGTGTTAGATAAGTCAAACTGCATGATCTCTTTGTTGTGGTTGTTGTTTTAATGGTACTGGGGATTGAACCAGAAGCACTTTACCACAGCCACATCCCTAGTCCTTTTATTTTTTATTTTTCGTTTTAAGACAGGGTCTCACTAAGTTGCTTTGGGGCTCGCTTAGTTGCAGAGRCTGGCCTCAAATGTTTGATATTTCTGCCTCAGCCTCCCAAATCACTGGGATTACAGGAGTTCATTAGGGAGCCCAGCACACCTCTGCCCTCTTGCTCCATCTGGGGATGGGAAGCCAGTGTTGAGGGAGAARCACACAACTGGGAAAGAAAAGGAGAGAGGGAATGAGCATGCTCTGGGGGTTCAGGGCTGCTGAAACTCACAGGGTGGCCCACATAATCATGAAGCTAGCTGACATTTGTTGGATGCTTACACTGTGCCAGGACAATTTACAGGTGTCATTTCATTTAATCCTCACAAAAGAGAAGTAGGCATTGCAGCAATGAGTAAACAGATCTTGAGAGGTCAGTGACCTGCCTAAGGCCCTGCTCAGGATTAAAAGGAACAGCAGCGCTGAACAGTGCCAGCACAGCCTGAGGTACCTTCCTACTCCTTCCATTGACTCCTCACAACTGACCTGCCTGCCAGACCTCTCTCTCTGCAACTGCCTCTTTCTATAGAGGAGAACACTGAGGCTCAGAGAAACGCAGAAAGGAAGTCACAGGTGGCATAGCCAGACACGGACTCCAGAAAATCTGACTGCGAAGCCCTCTTTCCCTCTTCCCTGAACACCGCTTTCCTTCACCGGAACCTGAAGGGTAGGGCTAGATAAGCTCTGGGGACTCTAGACCTGGATTCTCTTTCCTTAAGGGTCTGGAGGCTCAGCTGCTGAGATCTGGTTCCTCTTCTGGCGTCCATCCTCTCCTCCCACCCCCTTCAGGGTGTCAGGAGTCTCGCCTCTACTACTAGTAGCCCAGGTGCAGGAGGTACCGATCTCCCTCCCCTTTCCGAGAGCGCAGCGCTCACCTGTACAGGTAGCCCAGCTGCAGGAAGTGCAGCAGCGCCAAGCAGCGGCCGGGAGGCTGCGACTCGTGCAGACCAACCGGGTCGGCGCGCAGCCAGACCCAGCTAAAGAGCTGCAGCGCTACCGATGCGAGGACTAGCAGCGCCAGCACCAGCGCGGCCCATAGGTAGCGGCCGCTGAGCGCATACTGGCCGGCGGCCCACAGGTCCGCGCCCAAGTCGAGCAGGAAGGCGGCGGTGCCCAAAACGCCCAAGATCAGATCCCGAAGGAGAACGGCGCGGGACGACCAGGGCATGACCCGCCTGCCTCTGCCCGCTCCCTCCCCTTGCCCCTGGGACCCACACTCAATCCCAGGGTCGCGGTCGCAGGAAGGAGGCGGGAGCAGCCCTTAGGGCAGCCCCGGGCCGGGCCTGCTGGGCGGGACTTCCCAATCCCGCCCCGTCCGGGGAGGAGCGAAGCTGGAGTATTGCCCGAGCCCCCAAGCCAGCCCTTCCGCATCCCAAATGGCGCCCCCGAATCTGGTCCTGTCGCCAGCCCTTGGGGTTTCCCGGACCAGCTCAGTGGAGCTGCGAGGGCCGGGAAGACCGATGCCTTTCGCTTGGCTGGCTTCTAATTGACTGGTTTTACATTCAGGAGCCTGGAGACTCCAGAAGGAGAGAATGGCGGGAAAACTAGAACCTAAAGTCCAGGCAACAACCATGATCCTTTACGTTTACATTATTGCAAACCCAAACGAGGGCGGGGCGCGGGGAGGGAAAGACATATTCTGACCCCAAATGCGRTATTTTTGCAAACTACAGGTGCTCAGTTTAGACTTGAGCAGGGGATACACCAGGAGCACAGGACGGACATGGTGGTTCATTTCGTCAGGTGATTGAGTGCACTTGTAACTGCAAGTGACCCACTTTAAACATCATTTACATATTAAAAGGAATAATGTACAGAATAAAATGCACCATGAGCATTGTTTTGTGGATAAGACGTGAAACTTTAAAGAAATGTGCTTCTGGAGGAGTCTTTGGGGCTTCGTTTTCTTGATCCGGCAGTCCCAGTCTAGTTTACTCCCCTTGGATGCGGGGAAATGGGGGTGCAGTCCAGGGGGTGATGCTGCTCCAATTTGCCAGGAGGAAGGCGAGCTAAGCACGGGGACAACTAAAGTCACCGTGCTAACAGTGCGTGCAGGCCCAGATATGAGGCCAGCAGGAGTGGCAGCAGGGGCGCAGGCGCAGTGGCGAAAGCCTGTAGGCAGGTGGCATAGGCCTCGAAGGCAACCTGTTGGATGGCACACACGTGCTCTGTGCGGCAAGGCTCACCACAGGATGCCAAGTCGTAGCTGACTGAGTTGTAGACGTAGTAGCGCTGCAGTGTGCCCTGGTTGGTGGCGATGCGGGTCAGCGCATCGTGCATGGAGCGGGTGCCTGCATCTGGCACCTCATAGGCCTCAGTCAGCCGGTACTCTAGCTCCCAGCGTGGGCTTTCCTGCGAGTTCGCCAGGCTTAGGTTCATGAAGTAGGTCACCATGTCCTGAAGAGCGGGCACAGGGTCAGGTGAGCAGTTGTTTAGTTGCACCCCTAATTCTATACCTTGCATTTACCCCTAGATTCTTTATAGTCGTAATAATGACTGCTATTAGTGAATGTGTAGCCACCTACCAGGTATGCTTGGCAGACATCCTCTGATGAGGTAACTGGGCTTATTACCCCCATTTTACTAATGAGGCAATGGAAGGCCTAAAGAAGTTAATTCACTTGACCAGGGTCATATAGTGGCATGGGTAGAATTGGGACCCAGGTTGTTTACCCCACTGCATTTTCTGTTCTAGAAGGGAGTAGCCAGTTGACAGAGGTTGTAGAACTGTAGTTGATAGGGATGTAGAATACATTCAAGCAAGACTCCTTAGGGCCCAGAAGCATCTTCAGGTCTAGAATCTGAAAGGTCCTAGACCATTTCCAGTTAAATTTGTGGCCACCAAAGATCTGCCATGTATGGATGAGAGCTGACAAGCTGGGAACATTACATTATCACTTGTACTTACAAAAGGAGAAGCTAAATGCCAACGTGGACAATAGGCTACACTGCTGGGGATGAAACCCAGGGCCTCGCACATGCTAGGAAGTGCTCTACCACTAAGCTATACCCTAGCCCCAAGCCACACTTTAAAATTCCTCAGGCTTCTTTCTCTGCAGGAGAATCAAGAACCTAAATGATTTCATCCTGTCCCTGACTGTAAATGCCCTCCTCCAACTAGCTTTTTCCTTCCTTTTTTATTTTTTTTATTTTTGAGACAAGGTCTCATCAATTTGCCCAGGCTGGCCTCAAACTTATGTTCCTCCTGCCTCAACCTCCCAAGTCACTGGAATTACAGACAGTTGCCTCCATGCCTGGCTTCTCCCAGCCATTTCTACTTGGATGCCAAACTGGATCTTCTCTCTGAAACCTCACCTTCCTGCAGTCACCCTGTCTCAGTAACCAGAAACCTCATCTTCTCAGTGCTCAGGCCAAATGCCTCAGAATCCTCCATTCGTCTCTGACACGCCCCATATCCCACACCAGTCCACTAGCAAATTCTAGCTACTCTGCTTCCAAAATACCTACAGTGCCGCAAACTGCCCGGCCCCGGTGGCAGACACTTCTCACCAGTGCCCTTCCACCACCCTGGCCCAAACCACCATCATCTTGCAGTTGGTTTCTGTGACACTTATGTCCTAACTGCCCCTCTACTTCTCCCCTTGGCCCTGGTGACCTGTTCTTGGCACATCATACGTGGTGATTCTATAAAACTGTATCAGAATATTTTTTTTGCTCTGTCCAAAACCCTCCCAATTCAGAGTCTTCCTTGTGCCCTGCATGACCTGGCCTCACCCCTTCCACTCTTCCCTGTGCCTTCCACTGTGGCCACCCTGGGCTCTTCCCCTAATGCGCCCAGCACGTTCCCACCCCAGGGCCTCTCACTTGCTGTTCCCTTTGTCTTCCCAAGATGTCCACCTGGCTCAATCTCTCAATTGATTCAGAACCCAAATGTCACCTTACCTATGACCCTTTCCTCCTAAGAGCACACAAAACCCTTTACCATCACTACCCTTCTCCTCCTTCCGTTTTTTCTTCCTGGCTCTACTCTCTGTCCCTACTCAATTTTAACCTATTCATTTATTATCTCTCTCCTGTCAGAACATCAGGTCTCAGGGCTGGGGATGTGGCTCAGCGGTAGCGCGCTCGCCTGGCAGGCGTGCGGCCCGGGTTCGATCCTCAGCACCACATACAAACAAAGATGTTGTGTCTGCCGATAATTAAAAAAAAATAAAATATTAAAAAAAAAAAGAACATCAGGTCTAAAAGGGCAGCAAGCTTGTTTAGCTGTCATATGCATCTCCTGAGCCAGAACAAGACATATCACAGAGGCTTCATGTTCAACATTTTGTTGAACAGATGAAGGAATAGTATTTCTTTGGCATTTCAACAATCATAGCCATCTTAGGAGGTGAGGGCTTGTTTGACAAGTTAGGGCCTAGAGCCTACTCAGTATTAGGGAAGAAGTGGGCAATGGACTTGAGATCAGAGTGTGGGAAGCCTCAAATACCAAGCCAAGGAGATCCAACTTTGTCTTGAGGGCACTGGAATGCCATTTGGAGAGTTTCTTGTTTGTTTTTGTTACTGGGATTGCTTGAATGCTGAAGCACTTTACCATTGAGCTACATCCCCAGCACTTTTTATGTCTGAGACAGGGTCTTGTTAAGTTGCTTAGGGCCTCACTAAGTTGCCAAGGCTGGCCTCGAACTTGCTATCTTCCTCTCTCAGCCTCCCAAGTTGCTGGGATATCAGGCTTGCTCCAAGGCATCCCACTCATGTGGATGAAAGCAGTGCTTCAGAGAGATGAATCCCTTCTTTTTGTGTAGTGGATGGGTTATTACATGCAGGTCAGGGTGGGAGGCAGGAAGACAGGGAAGGAGGCTATGGCAACCATCCTGGACGAAGGGGGATTTGGGGAAGAACTGACCTGCTTTAGTGGCAGGCAGCTCCAGGGTTCTGAACCTGATCATGAGAAGARTGGAAGTAGCTTGACCTTCCTGAGGCTCAAGGGTCAGCAGCAGGTAAGCAGGCTGGCTGAGAGTTAAGGAAGTCCCTCCCACCCTCCTCCTCTGGCCCCAGCAGACCCAGGGCCCCTGACCTGAAGCTTCAGTGTGGCTCGGTCATACTCCAACACCCGGATGCCTGGATTATTGGCCCCGTTGACGACTCCGGGTAATGTGGTTTTCCACGGGGTGACCCCAGGTGTGAGAAACATGACGCTTATGGGGGCACCTTTTAGGAGAGAGAAAGTGGGACTGAGAGAGGTTGGTGAGAGAAGGAGGGGGGCATGCTGGCATTTGCCCTCCAGATCGAGTACCTGCATCATCATAGAACATCCGGAAGCTGTCGGTATGGTGGTGCCCAAAGAACTGCCCTGCTATGACTCTATGGTGCTTCCGGACCACCTTCAGGTACTCCTCATTGAAGTCCTCCCGGAACCACGGCTTGTTCCGTGTCTTCTCAAAGAAGCCGGGGGGCACGTGGCCAATAATGTACACCTGCAAGGAAGAGGTGTCCGGGACAGAGATGTTCTCTCCGGATCCTCATTTCTACCTCTTAAAACTGCCCATCTCGGGGCTTGGGATGTGGCTCAAATGGTAGAGCGCTTGCCTGGCACACATGAGGCACTGGGTTTGATCCTCAGCACCACATAAAAATAAAATAAAGATATTGTGTCCATCTAAAACAAAAAAATAAATATTAAAAAAAAAAACTGCCCATCTCCCCCAAAGGCAGGTGGCAGCTCACAAGAATCTCGTCCCTGACATTCCTCCCATTCTCTCCCCTGACATTTGCTCTATACCCCAAAACAGGTGTGCCACATGCCTTCCCACCTCTGTGTCTTTGTCCATGCTATGCGTACCAACTGGAGAACACTTTTTGTTTTCTATAAATCCTACCCTTACTTCCGAACATTGCTCCAAAATCACCTCCTCCATGAAGCCTTCCTGTTCCTTTTAAGACTAGTCTTCTCAGAGAGCTTGAGCCATGTATGTTCATGTCTTACACTCCCTGAGTCACTTGGTTAATAATCCCTGGCTACTCCGCCACCTTTGCAGGAGACAGAACAGGGGACAGGATTAAGAACATGAGCTTTGGAATCAAACTGCTGCTTGGACACCAGCTGTGTCACTCTCTGAGTGTCAGCTGTCTCTCATCTGGAATAGCAGCTACCTGGTGGAGTTTTCAGAGTTAAATGAGATCATCCATAAAAAGCACTGAGCTTGGCATCATGAGTGCTCATGAGCACCAACTGTGATATCCTCCTGGGACATTCTGGGCAATGCAAGAACTCAGGCACATGAGACACTGT